AGTTGATTACTCATATTACCAATTTTTATAAAACTTTGGACATCCTGATATCTCTTCTATATCTTTAGATCTAGAGGATCCCAAAAGTATACCTTCTGAAGCTGTAGAGAAATTAACTACGGAGTTTTACATGGAAGAAATAAAATGTGTTGTTTTTAGTGTGCCACATAACAAATCTCCTGCACCCAATGGTTTTACTGTTGAATTCTATCAACATTTTTGAGAACCGATCAAATTTGATTTTAAAGCCTTTTTTTATGATCTCCATAGACGTGATTTGGATATACCCAGGCTATAATGTGGGCGATCTGGACTTCCAGGAACAATGTAACACATGATAGAGATAGCTTGGATCCGACTCGCTCAATGAAGATGATCATAGAGACCTTGTCCTTGCTAGAAATACCACAACACCATGCAAGGATTTTGCGGGGTCATGGTTGGAGGCCTCCTGAAGATGAATGTATTAAAATCAATACCGACGCTGGCATCTCGATGGAGGCAAGGCGGTGCGGTCTGGGAGGTGTCGTCAAATCACCTGATGCTTTCGTGGCCGCCTGGTGTAAACCGGTCCAGGGTGTCACTGACCCACTAGTACCGGAGGCTCTGGCCCTCCGCGAGGGAGTGGTGTTTGCTCAGCTACGAGGCTTTGTGCGAGTGGAGATGGAGACCGACAACTTGGAGGTCGTCAATCTTTGAAGCTCGCGCCGTTCTTTGCGCTCGCTTACAGCGCCTGCGTTACTTGATATTGAGGGACTAGCTGCTTCATTTCCCTTTTTTACTATTAGTCATGTTAAGAGACATGCCAATATCCCCACTCATCTGTGTGCAAAACTTGCTTGCACATTGGAAGAAACGGAGTGTTGAGCTTGCTGATCACCAGTTTGTTGGCTGAGAGCGCTGGAGCTGTTTCTTCTGAATAAAGCCCTCGATTCCCCGCAAAAAAAGGAATAAAAAATTCTCAAATGAATGACAAGTTGCCAGATCGCAACTTGTGTTACTATTTATGCAGCCGGTAGTTCCAACCAAATATATTACACGTGATGTATGCGCTACCAAAACAATAAGAAAACACTCTAATATTTGTGTAATGCAGTGCAGTTCCACATGGGTGGGATTTGGTCGTCGCGCATTTACTTTTATTTAATATATCTACCTTTTCAAGTGAGATATTGCGTGTGCCTTTACATTGCACTTGTTGTTAGTCATAGGCCAGATCGACCACCCAGCTAGAGATATCTACATATAGTACTTCTTTTGAGGACAACATAAGCTTTTCATGATGATAATGGTGCCGTCCTCCATAGCCTTGTGCTTTTTATTTTCTTACTTAATCACGATTATGTGGTTATCGCACTACTACTGCTACATAAGCTTTTCTAAGATACCAACTATGATGATACTTTGTGGCATTTTTTTATGGGTACTTTTGTGCTGTTTTAACAAGGGTTAACTTGCACCATTGCTTGAGCTAGCATAGAAGCTTGCCATGTGGTCGTGCCCTATGCATCCTTTCTTCATTATTTATAACCATATGCATGTATAAATAAATGCAATAGCGTGCACTAAGTATTTGTTTGACCAAATGGCCAAACAGAAGTTGGTGACGGCATCCCATGGTTCCATGAGCCTATGACTTAGTATTATTAGGAAACCAAGAGATTGGAAATGATAACATATTTATATAGTGCTTATCTTGTCACAGTTTAGTCAGGTCTCGTCCAGTGACACAGTACACACTACAAAGAGACATCAGTGGAGATAATAAATGCAAGAAGCTCTTTATTCTCTATAACAACAGCGTGGGATCATCATGTTTATTCGTGCAACACGTGACATAAACCATCAACCGCACAATAAATTTCTCTCACCACTTCTACTCAAAGAGATCTTCAAACAAGCAATTCGTTATATGCTGTAAATCGGCGCCGGACGGCATTGAACCAAAAAGTGAATCTCCCATGAAAGCATATATGCTTAGGCGCCATTCATTATTGGCTTCTTCATCTCCCACGTCGTCAAGTGGGATACCTTGATATCTTTTGGCTTCAGTGTGCTTCGTCGGTATCTTGGTGAAAATTGTATGATTCGACGACCGGCAATACTAAGGGATCGCCCCCCTGACCAAGCACGCTCAATGCTCATGGCTTCTCATTTTTTTTAGATGGGCAGCTCATGGGGCTTTGGCAAACCTTTGAAAATAGTCAAGTGCGTGCAGGTATACAAATGTGGTGTCACGACTTCGATGTGGTTTCATTATCCTTACTAAAGCCTTGGTAGAAGGTTATGTTAAACGGACTGCCACCATCGAGAATATGTCTCCTAGAAATATCTTTGTAATTCTTAGTAATAGGAGTTACACTACAATTACTCTGCTCTATAATCCAAAGGATTGTATCTGTAAAGTTTGTTGGGATTGAATACAATTACAAGTATTTCTAAAAACAAAGATGGAAAAGCATTTCTCATGGAAAAAAAGTCCGCGCCACGCGCTCGCAGTTTTTTAACCATGCAACCTATCTATATTATCCAATGGTTTAATTTTGCATTCCCTCCGATGGTAGGGCAAGCGGACTCGGGTTCCATGAGTACTACTTTGTACCTAAGTCTTTTGAGAAACCACGTAAGAAGATAAGAGCCGGTGACTCTGAAGTGAGGATTTCGCACCTCAAAGATGGAATCACTCAAGACAATGTTGTTGGCACTAACTAAAAGTGAATTTTACGGTGCTTGGTCTAATCTGAAGGTTGATCAATCATGTAACTATTTAATTTATGTCTCATAAGTTGAACGTACTTTTAGGTTTTAGGGCTTAATTCAATCGACTGAGCTCAATTCATCCCTGATTTCCCTCTCACTGTATAGTCGTGCCTCACTACCTCTCAATACTGCCCTGCCCCCACCCCTATCGCGTGGATCGTGCACAGCGACACTCCCTTGTTGCGCACTTCCGCAACATGCACAATGGAATGGATCATGCGTTGTGCCTGCTTTACCCTCCCAGCCGCCCTCCAAAAAAATGTTCACGAATTTATAATTTTTTGGTTTTTAAAAAAGTATGAACTTTTTTTAACAAAATCTTGTCAAATTTTATGACAAAATTAATGTTTACTTGTGTTTGGAAAGGTGATCATGTATTAAAAAATGTTCACACAATTAAAATGTTCCGGAAAATTAAAATTGTTTGCGTATTTTTAAAATATTCTCAAATTTATAAAATTTGCATAACTTAAAAATAAATAA